TGCACCAGAATGTTTATTGCAGCCCAATTCATAATAGCCAAGACATGGAAACAGCCCAAGTGCCCATCGACCCATGAATGGATTAACAAATTATGGTATATGTACACCATGGAATACCATGCAGCCATAAAAAAAGATGGAGACTTCACATCTTTTATGTTTACCTGGATGGAGCTGGAACATATTCTTCTTAGTAAAGTATCTCAAGAATGGGGGAAAAAAGTATCCAATATACTCAATACTACTATGAAATCAATATATAAACACCTACACACTCATACAAATGGCAAAACATAACTATAGTCCAAAAAGTAGAAGGGAAGAGGAGAGAGAGGGAAGGGGAGGGAGGATATGGGAAGAGTGAGGGCATTTGGGGGGACCTCACCTAATGTGCGTGATGCAATGGTACATTTCAAAACTATTAAGAAATGAGTATAATTGTGATGGATGTGTTACTTAGTTCAATATAAACATTTCACATTATATACTGAAGCAGTACCCTGAATCCCATAAATGCATCAATGTACAAAGTTATGATTTAATAAAAAAAACAATTTAAAAAAATAAAGGAAAAAAAGAAAAAAGAAAGGCCCTGAGCACAGTAGCTTGTGTCCCCATGCAGTGGAGTGCACCACCGTCCCAGCACACTGGTGTGCTCACCAGCACAGAAGCTCTCTGAGCCCCTCTGCTGAGGGTTGTCATGGGGGCTCCACTCCACAGGTGTGATTCATTATATCACTGCCATAAGTGACCAACTCCAACTCCAGCCCCTTTGTCCCTGCCTGACATCTGAGGTGGAGCTCAAATCCCAACCCCCTAACCAGAGGCTTGTTCCTCTGGCTAGCGGCCTTGTCCTCCTCAGTGTAAACTCAGGTCAGGCTGAAACGGTTCCTCAGGAGTAACAAAACACGCTGCTTACCCTGTCACCCAGGAAATTCCATGCGTTTTAGAAGCTCTGGGCCAGGAACCAGAGAAAACACATGCTTCTTACTACATAACAACGGCTCCCTGCTCACCCTCCTCACCCAGCTGCCCACGTCCCCATCCATCCTATCCCCATGGGAGCCTCACTGGCCTAAGATCCCCAGCACAAGACTATCACCTAGCTCCACCTGCCCACTCCTGGCACAGAACATGTGGTGGCTACTCAGGAAATTCTTGCCAAACTGAACTGGTCCCTGAGACCTGACTGCACTAGCAGGTTACTACTGAGCTCCCTGCTGCCCCTGAGAGAAAGACTGGCCCGGGTACCTCAGCACATCCCACTGGACCACCCTCCATAGCCTCCCTGGTCTGCTGCCCCCAGCTTGGTCATAGCCCCAGGCAGGCCCAGCACACAGCACAGCAAACACCTTCCCGCTGAACAGACACGGGCAAGTGAGTAACTGAAGAAATGGGCCCAATCTGGGGAGGGAGAGAAATCTCTGAGAAGTGAAGGAACCAAGAGAACAGAGATGCTGATTCAAATGTGGGAAAACCAACAGTTTATGATAAAGATACGCAGTGGGGTACAGAGAAATGGAAAAGGAGAATGAGTTAGGACTTGACTCAGAATACCCATTCTGAGCAGCACAGCATTCACAAGACTGGGTCTGTATGTGAGACATAAGAAACTGCTCAGTCTCACAGTAAAAGTACATATTTTTATTTACTTTTAGTAAATACCACCACCACTGAGCACTGAAACTGCTCAGTCTCACAATAAAAGTAAATAAAAAATTAAATTTTTTTGGCCGTAAATAACAAAACTTTTAAAAACTAGATAATAACCAATGTTGTCAAGGACATGGAAAAACAGGTAATTTCTCTTACACCTTGTTAGTAAAAAGATGCAGCTGCACTGGAGGGACGGAGCCCACAGCCACCAACAGAGACTGAAAGCACATCCCCTCGCGGCTAGCACACCCCAGGACACTCCTGTGTGTCGGAGAGACATGCACAAGGACATTCCCCACACCGCCACTTATAACAACAAATGACAAAAGTCAGCATAGAGGACATCTGTGGCCACCACAGAATAAGGCATCACTCTCTGTACTGACACACACAGACCCCCAGAGGCAGCGTGGGGCACAAAAACCAAGGACCCCTCAACACCGAAGAAAACATCGATGGCCCCCAAATGACATATACACAAACACATACACACATGTGCATACGCAGGGAACATTTCTGGAAACAAATGGGTATGGGGAGGAGAAGACTGCACCACCTTACCAGTACATGAAAATCTCTACAATAAAAATCAAGAGCAGGCTGGGCCAGGTGGCTCACACCTGTAATCCCAGCACTCCGGGAGGCCGAGGCAGGTGGATGGCTTGAGCTCAAGAGTTGGAAACCAGTCTGACAAAGAGTGGAAAAACTAGGGCGGCCCCTGTGGCTCAAAGGCATACGGCACCGGCCCCATATGCCAGAGGTGGTAGGTTCAACCCCAGCCCCGGCCAAAAACTGCAAAGAAAAGAAAAAAAAAATGGAAAAACTAGTCAGGTGTAGTGGTAGATGTCTGCAGTCCCAGCTACTCAGGAGGCTGAGGCAGGAGGGTCACTTGAGCCCAAGAGTTGGGGGGAACTACGACCCCACAGCACTCTACCCAGGTTGATAGAGTGAGACTCTGCCTCATAAATAAATAAATAAACAAATGTCAAGGCCAGAGGCCAGCATTTATGAACACCACTTCCACTGGGGCACAGCCACTTACCTCTCCATTGCTGGGGTTGGTCCCGTACTTCTTAAGCCACGGAACAATGCTCCTGAAGGGGAAACAGAGCAGAAAGCATTCCCACAGCAGTTAGGCACCACTTGCTAACACCACCACTGACCTATAGAGCTGCTTCTGGGCTAGGTTTTGTTTCACTTTAGGAGGGGAAAAGCCTCAACAAAGGAAGGGGGAATATCTGTGGTTACATGGGTTTCAAAATAGGTTCTTATTTTTACTGCAGTTATATATAAAAAACAAAAACTATAACTGGGTTAAAAGATACAAATAAATGTTGACACATCTATACAACAAAATACTGGGCCAGCATCCAAAATTATACTTTCAGAGAATTCTGAATGATGTGGGGGAAAAGCTCTCACCATAACACAATGAAAAGTGAATCTGGCTCGGCACTTGTAGCTCAACCGGCTAAGGCACCAGCCACGTACACCTAAGGCGGCGGGACTGAATCCAGCCCGGACCCACCAAAACAACGACAGCTGCAACCAAAATATAGCCGGGCATTGTGGCGGGCGCCTGTGGTCCCAGCTACTTGGGAGGCTGAGGCAGGAGACTCGCTTGAGCCCAGGAGTTGGAGGTTGCTGTGA